AATTTGTAACACCCCTAAAATTTCCCGCCCAAAACATTGATATATTTAAAAGAAATACTTTATTCATTCATCAAAGAGTTGAAGAAATACAGCGGAAGTCTAAAAGGGAAAAGAGTGTTACCGCCACATTCGGTCGGTCATCTCTTAACCGAATGCACAGGCAACTCAAAGTAAAACAATAAAAATAATGTAATAATAAGTAAATGTTTGATTTATGACTAGATTTAACTAAAGCATCTTCTAATTCGCACTCAAGCTCGAGCAATCCATCAATCCACATAGGTATCCAACTCATCACCTGATAAAATTTAAGGGAGAAGAGAGATACAAGAAAAATAACAAAAATTAGCTTTAGAGCTAAGTAAGTACTACCCAACCCCGTAAAATAATCAGGTTTGACAAAAATAGATTTTTTTATAATATCATATAAAAATGACGCACTCCACCAAAATACTTTTCTCTTTGATTTTTCTTAAAATCACTTCTTTGCTAAAATCTTAAACTTCTCTTGGAAAATCTCTTAGTAATTCTTCTCTTTAAACTTCTTAAGAAAATCACTTCTTCTCTAACTTCCTAGTAATTTAGAAGGGCGGTGCTTAACCTTTCGGTAGAGCCCGGTGGACCGTGGTTACGGACGGCCACCCCGAACAAGTGCCGGTACCACAACTGCTCTGTTGGAAACGAAACGACTACCTTAAGTGTGCACACCCCCTAAAAGGGATTCCAAGCCCTCCGAGTAGTAAGTCATCCCGAGTGGTCGGAACCCAACCACCCCAATTCTAAAATTCTTGAATGATTAGGGACTACTACTATAACTTCTTCTTAAAAGGGACCATAGATCCAAATCTCACTTAAAAGGGATCATAGATCCAAATCTTACTTAAAAGGGATCATAGATCCAAACTGTACTTCTTAGTAGTAGTAGCTCTAATCACCCTCCACATTTATTCGGTCGGCGCCTTCTCTTCGGCACAGTACCTTTAACGTCGGCAGAGACCGGTTTCAGGCAAGGTATGGCGGCAGACGTAGATGCCTCGTCCATGGCACGAGAGACTCCAACGTCCTCGCCTTCAGACAACGAGGCAGCCTCCTCGTCTTGGTTCTCCTCAACCTCTTGCTCCCCTGACTTGAAGTAGCTCAAATCTTCTATCTCCTCGCAGCATTCCTCCACCACCCGGTAGTCAAGGGATTTGACGGAGGCCTCATCGTCATACGCGTAATATTCATCGTCTAAGGTCTTCATCATTAACACCTGAAGAAACCCTAAAGGAAGCTACTTTGGATCTAAGGTCGGTTTTTTACTAACACTGGATCAAAGCCCTAGCTAGGGAAGCAAAATATGCAAGAAATCGGAGAAGAGTGCGATGAACTGACCTTTGAAGTTTTGAAGAAATGGAAGAACACCGGCAAGCACTTTATCTCTCTACAAATTTGGGCAGCACTTAGTTTTTTGAGATTGCAATAGGGAGCTTCTTCGGATGGAGGGGGTATTTATAGACCTGCCCCCAACGATCACTACATGTGGCGCTCCCTCATTGGCCACTCAAACGGCCATCACTCCAAAGGCCCATTGGGCTGCCACTGGTTCATAAAATGGGTCAGGCCCACTTTCATCAGTGTCAGTCCATCGCCAACAGACAAGTAATCAGCGTCCATAACGGCCAATCATTCAACGGCCACACCAAAAAGAAATATCCGCCTCCACAGGGCACGACTACAATGACCCTAGCAACCAATGATCTTTTCAACGGCTTGTCTCACCACAAGGTGTGCCCATATCGGCTTAACATACTGCAAGCAACATGGCCCCTTCCACGGCCACAATAGCAAATCAAACAATAACCCAACAACCATCACCCTCGTATAAAACTTTGATGATAACTTTTTGAAAGCGACCTGCATCCAAGGGTTTTCCCACAAGGTTACCTTGGTCAGGAATCACCAAGGGGTTGGATTCAGAGGAATACAAGGATCCGGCTTCGGCCTAGGGTTACACCTTACTCCTTCACCCCTCGCTCGCTCTTCGGCCTGAAGCAGTGGGGGACTGGGGGACTACACCGGCCTCTGGAATACAAGAAAGGACAAAAGCAAAGAAATCCAAAAATACACCAAATCCACAACTACAACATCAGATCATATATGCACCATGACGTCCATGACCTTGCGGTGCACCCCCGGCCGCAACAAAACTAGCAAACAAAGAAGCAAACTCCTCCCAAGATGTGACGTGTATCGTCCCCGAACGTGTGCCACTCAACGGCTTTGAGATTGCATACTTCACTCTCGGCCAAGAAACAAAAACAGGAACCCAAAGTCCTCACGTCACCATCGTCCATAAGATCAGAATGCGCACAACTTCTGGAACAGCACCCGCATCGGATATTCAAATCAAGAGCACATATCAGCCACTGAGCCAGGACAATCATCGTCCTCAAACGAGCAAACTCACCCCACCGGAAGAACATCAGCCTTCATCGACAGTGTATGCCTCTCACTCTTGTCCCATTCAAGATTCTTACTTTATTCTTACTTTATCAATTCAATATCAGCCACATAAAATACTTTTTATTAATTTGTGTATCACTCCCTCTTATCCTATTGTTAGCGGGACGGAGGGAGTATTATATTAGAAAATACTTCATACTCCGTAGTTCATATATATATATATATATATATATATATATATATATATATATATATATATATATATATATATATATATATATATATATATAGGGGTGAGTTCTAATACAAAGAGGTCTTCCCATGAAAAGTGAGAACCAATCTAAGCCCTTGATTACTTAAAAATGGATGGTATAGATCAAAAACTCCCGATCAACAAAAATGTGTAATACATAATAGCAAAAGTGCATATGCAATATGTAATGTTGCACATTCACCTTCTAAAAAACCATCAGGAACGATCTTTATAGTTGTTATGTTTTTCCCGAAAAGTAATGCACTTTATTGTTAGTCTAATGCACTTTTCCTCCGTAGTGATGCACATTTGTCACGTTAGTTTTCAAAAAAGTTTTTAATAATTACACTTTTGGCACCGAAATTTTCCCTTAAAAATTGATCTGATCCACTCGTTTTCTCATTTTAACGGCTAAGATTACTTCTCATTTTTCATATAAGTAGTACTTTGTATTTGAATCTCCCTCTCTCTCTCTCTCTCTCTCTCTCTCTCTCTCTCTATATATATATATATATATATATATATATATATATATATATATATATATATATATGACTAAAATTAAGATTGTTTACAAAATATGATTAGTGACTTAAGTACTTATGATATCATTATAAATTTAGGTTACTGTGAAACTATCTTATAATAATTATTAAACATATTTGTGTGAATGAGTTTTGTTTTAGTAATATTTTTGGGAAAAAAAATCGTATATTAAATACGAGTTCTTTTTTGACTAAACACAATACAAGTATTAAAAAAATGGGAATATTATCTAACCCTAGTTAATAAAAAGAAAATGAGAAATGAGAGATTTTACAAAATAAAAATGTTATAGGCACATTTTTTATATACTACTCGAACAAATTACGTATGTTTGAGTCTTATTTAAAAGATACGGAGTACATGCATATTTATTCGAGTTAACAAACAAGCTCAAGTTCGCACTTCGCACAAGTCTTTTAAAACAAATTATTGCCCTCATCTGCTAAAAAGACTTGAGAAAATCGTCAAAATGGGAGTAAAACCGGAAGTAATTGCAAAACTAGGACTCATTGTTTTAAATTCTCTAAATAGGAGTAAATATTTGCATTTGGACGGAAATAGCCTCTGATGCGGTAACATTGCGCAGACGTTGTCATCTTCTGCAATTCATCGCAAACATCTCTTCCTCCCATGGATCTGAGCTCGTCATCGACTCTGGCCTCCCATCGCATAGGCAGCCAGGTAAGTCCTCTGCTTCTTCATCTTTCTCTTCTTCTTCAAATATATGGTCTTCTTATTTTTTGCTTCTTCTTCTTCTTCTTCATCTTCTAATCCTCTTCAATCATCTAGTCCCCTATTCTCTTCTTCTTTTTCTTCTTTGGATTTGAATTTTATTTACTAATTTGGATTTTTTGGATTTGAATTTTACTTCATAAGCAAAATGTCACTTTTATAATCTGAGAATGTCAAAAGTCTTACTAGTATTTGAAAAAATTGTCATGTTTGTAGCAGTACATTTATCAGGATGACAATCTGAAAATGACATATGTTCATAAGATAATGTCATTATTTTGTCATTTATTCATATCAAGTGGCATTCTCATCGGAGGCTGCACAGACTTGAATGACATAAAAGTGTCATTTTTTAAAAAATAACCAGTAAATATGACATTCTTGATTAAAAAATGACACACTCTTCAGAATCATTACTCAGAGCATTTTGAGATTGAAATATATCAAAATTGATAAGAAGAAATTCTAGTTAAGTATATCAAAATTGAATTAGAAGAAGAAAAAGAAGAGGAGGAAGAAAAGAAAGAAGAGTACCTGGGAGAGAAAAGAGCAGATGACGCCGATGAAGTCATTGATGATGGAGATCGAAGTTGCGATCGGCCAAAGGGAAAGTGGCAGGGGAGAAGTCTGGCGGTTGATGGAGAGTGGATCGATTATTTTTAGAAGAAGGGTAATAAGGTAATCTGGAGTCCTATTTGTGAAATATAAAACTTGTAGTCCTACTTTGGAGTTTTAACCATGTTTTAGTCCTATTTAGGATAAAAACTTAAAAAACTTTTATCCGCAAGCTGTATAGAGGTTTTTGTAATTTCTAAATTTTATATGTATATCGTTGTGCTCCGTATAAATTATTCAAGATTTTGTACCTGAGTTATTTCCCCCATACGTAGTACTCCGTACTAAAAATCCCACTTCTACCCGCAGGAACAAAACCCTTTGTACGTGCAAATACTACTAGTATGTGACAGCAACAACCTAGTTACGTTTGTTTGTACTCTAAAACTAAAACAACATTTTCAGGATAGTTAGCAAATAGATTAACGATTGAAGTCGTTTAAGCAAACAACCTAACGGCGGCCTCATACATAATCCGATTACCCCGGCCGCCATGACTGGCCATACAAAGCAAATATTCTAGATACTAGTATTACAGAACTACAACATGAAAATTAACAAGAAAAAGAGAAGGAAGCATCCCAGTTCATATATGATCCCATGTTTCCATTTCACCCTGGATAATCCACACCTCAACCCAGGTTGAGAACTAAAACACAGGCCCATTCTTGATCATCCTTTCCTAGCTATATCCCAGCACCGATCTAATGATACCCGGCATGGCCTACAAGCTTTCCGACGGTCTGGGGCTTGGAACAGCCCGGCCACCCATTTCGCGGCGGAGAAAACTTCACCGGCAGATAATCAGTCGTTCGACATATGAATCTTGAGTCCTGGAAATGGTTCACCAGCGCATTTTTCCCCTGCCATTTATCATCTCTCAGATATGTAAAACAGATTACTGAGATTTGAGAGTAGGAAATCATATACGGAGTAATAATATTAGTATATTGAAAAAAATTAAATCACCTTGATTTTTGCAGAGCTAATTTCACATATCTTCTTTGAAGTGAAGATCCCAGATTCCATCCTAACAATGCCCCATTTATAATCCTTCAGCAACTCTGTGATCTTTGCAGCGCCGGCTGCGGTGGTGAAGTTCACAAAAGCATACCCAAGGTTGTTGTCCGTCCTTAACAAACAAAAACACAATCATTTCCGCAACTATGTTTGATATAAAAAACACCCAAGAAAGACTCTTGAAGAGAAACGTACTTGAAATCCATGGGAAGGTAGAGGAAATCATATTCAAGATCGTTCTCTATACAGTGCTTATCAAGAAACTTCATAAAGCTTCCCCTCCTGCCCAATCATGACCATATTAATATTTGAATGAAGGATTGAAGGGTTGCTTATTAAATGATTTATGATATGGCAATTAATGTGTTCAGATGAATACAAATAAAAACAAGAAAAAGAAACACTTAATGACAAAGATGTTTTTGGATGGTACGGTTACATTTCCGGGGAAAGGGACAGGCAGTGAAGGGAAAGTGCATTAACTTCCTCCTTCGTGCCTTTTCAGCTGCTTTGAGCGAGAAACAGAGAAAATGGCAGAGAAAGATGATCGGAAATGTAAACCCCGTTTTTGAAATCAACCAGGAGAGCAAGATAGAGATGGTTGACCTGTATTGGTTCGGGATGTTCCTGATCATCACGGTGGTATCCCCGGCCATCGGAGATAAAGAAGAGCCGTCGCTGACGACGTCGCTGATGGCGTCGCTGATGGCGTCGCTGACGGCGTCGCTGACGGCGTCGCTGACGGCGTCGCTGACTTCGCCGGACTTCGACTTCACTGGTTTCCAAATCTTAGGTTTCACGACCTTTTTGGGTAAGCTGAAGCTTCTACTACACTTTCCCTGCAGCCTCGGGGGCAAGAAAATGCTCTTAAGACTTGTCTGCCCTTTCCCAACTGCCGGGCGAGCGAGCTTCTTGACGGTGGAGACACCGCCGTCGAAGTAACCGGAGTAAGGAATACAGTGAAAGAAACCTACGGCGTGCGCCGGAGACAAGGTGTATGCCGGCGGCGAGGAAAAACGGGCGTTGTGGTAAATCACATGCGGCATATAGGTTACGATAGGAGGAGAGATCGCGTTCGGGAAGTATTCATGAGCTAAGGGATTCAACTTAGACGACATTCTTGAGTGTGGAGAAAAAACGAGGACCTGGAGATGGAAACAGAAGAGACGAAGTGCGGAGTTTCTTCTTTCTGGCGGTGAAATAGAACAAAAACAGGAGGGTCCCGCAGATATGGTGGGTCCAGTTGATCTCCATGTTTAATTCACACGAAGCATTTAAAAAGAATTTTGTGATAGATAACCATTTGATTTGTTTATTGGAAAGTTCCCAAAATAGAATTAAAACATTTTCAAAATTTTAAAATATGATTGTCATATTTTTTATTCTAAAAATAGGATTAATTATTGTAATGTTTAGAAAATACTGTCATGGTTGAAGTCTGATACTACCAAAACATGACAGTAATTAATCTTATTTTGTGAATAAAAACACGATAGTACTATTTTGGAATTTTCAAACTGTTTTAATCCTATTTCGGGTAATATCTTTGTTTGGTTTATTCACACCCACGTAATACAAAATAAATTTATGGAAATTTCAAGTATAAAAAATCTTTAAGAGTTTTTATATTGAAATTTATGCATAGTATTATACATAGTATATATAATGATTTTCTAATACTCTATAATATATACTCCGTCTAATCTAATTATTATGTACAAAATTTTATTAAATTTCTACTAATGTAAATTTTCAAAACAATAACTTTTTTGTGTTTAGTAAAACGTAAATAAATATCATTATTGTTAAAATTGTACGTTGATAAACGTAAAAATTAAATTATTACAACTTATAAAGAAGGGAGGGTAGTACAAATTTTTAAAACCTTCTGTTTGGTTCAATAAATTTGTGTATCATTCCATTTAATTCAATACGGGATGTTTTTAATTTGTGGATTCTTATTGAAAATAAACTCTAAATTCATAATGTGTACTCCGTTTAATATTATATTCTGATGATTTTAGTGAGTTTGAGATAAATGGCTAAAAATGAAAAGATGCTGCTGCATTTTCCTTCCCCAAATGCAATTAATATAAGGGAAAATAATGCACATTACTGCTATCTCCGTTCCATCATGATTGTCCCATTTTATCTTATCGGTCCGTTCCACTAGGATTATCTCATACCAAATTTGATAAAGTTTGTGTGACTCTAAATCATTTTTACTTTATTTTTACTTTATCAAATCATTATCAACATAAACCACATTTTTATTAATTTGTGTGACAGTCCCTCTTGTTTCATTATTAGCAGGACGGAGGGAGAATTTCATATTTAATTGTAATACTACCTATGATTTGCAAATGTCTTCGCTTCTTTCATTTTTGAAAGAAGTTTCGAGTTATATACGATAGTATGAAGTTAAGTACTTTGTGCTCTTTAATTTTTCCCATTGAGATTGTCTCTTTAGCCAATATGAAATGGTGATTAATGGCTTGTTTGGATTGAGTGTTAGGGAGACATACTAATGGAAGTGTTAGTAAATGTTTGTAAGAGCCCATTAGGGAAGGGAAGTGTAAGTGTTAGACATAATTTTACCTTGTTTGAGAGAATCAAATGAATGAAGTGTTAATAATTTTACCTTTAGCAAGAAGAAACGAGTAAGAAGAAGAGTTGAAAAAGACAGACAATCAGACCTGCGGCAAAGAGATTCAAAGTGAGATGGTGAAGCATTTTATGTTTTTAGGGTAAATGAGAAGAGTAATAATTGTCCAACACCTCAAAACACTCCAAATCGAGGTGTTAAAAAAGTGGACAATAGAGGTGTTGGGAAGGTTATTATTAACACTTCTGAACCTTTACTAACACTTCTAAGAGTCATTTTGAGTAATTAAACAAGTGTTATTAACATTTACTAACACTTCTATTACTAGCACTCCTAACACTCAATCCAAACAGGCCATAGGGAGTTTTTGGATTTGATTATGGATTTGCTTCTCATTTTATAGAACTAGTAGAGTAACATTATACTCCGTCATCGACTTTTCAGAAATTTGTTGCCTCAATCCATACAAAATCGCTTCTAAGAGTCATTTTGAGTAATTAAAGGTATTTTTTATACGTTCCCTCACACTCCAAGATCTTGTACTGCCCACTAAAGTTACAAAAATACTTCCCTTGTGTGTATTTAAGTTCCTTAAGAAAATAAATTTATCGAGCAATGAATTTTATTGTAGAGTGCATTGATTTGATACTATTTGGCACTTTTATGCATTATTTTGGTACTGTTTTGATGTAGATTGGTTTATCAAATAAGGAAGTGCAAACTTATTTGAGACATCCTAAAAAAAGTAGGAACTTAAATACGGAACCGAGGGAGTAGTTTTCAAAAGCAAATCAATGAGGTTGACATAATTTAAAATCGAGTGGGAGCTTATTTGGTAATGTTGTTTTCACCTTTTCGAAATTAAATTGTATTAGTCACTTTACTCAATTGAAGATAGTTTTCTAACTAAATTATTTAAGTAACTAGCTTTCAAGTCCGTGCAATGTACGGGCAGTATGTAATTTAACTGATTTGAAATTTAATTTCTATCGGATCACATATAATGTGATTTAAAAGAAAAATAAACTTAGTCTAACATAGAGTATTTGATAATACTAAAGTAAATAAAATTAACTTATTTTGCTGAAATTGATTGAATTCAGGTTAAATAGGTGGAATCTTCTGAATCATGAAAATTATATGTGAAATATATTCCATTTTTGAAACAAAGAAAAAAAATATGAAAAAAAAGTTAAATTGGTCTTCTACATAAGCATCTCAAGTAAACATAATTGTTATGAACCCAATAATAAAAAAATCTACATTACTTAATTGTTAGATCTTACAGTTTACTCATTAATAAGGACATTTTTAATTGAATTAAAATTTCGGGTTTGATTTGGTATGAATTAATATGGTCTATTAGATGTCTATTTTTTATGTGACTTATTGTTATAATTATTAAAGTTTGATCTGATCTGATTTAATCTGAAACTGAAATCAATCCAATTAAAAACATTCTATGAAAATAAAAGTAGGAATTCGTAAAACTATGAAGATTTTCAAATTTGGATTAGGAATCTATTTCAAAAGTGAAGGCATATTTGAATTTTAGGTGTAAAATAAAGAAACAGCCAAAAAAATTTACTTATTTGGCCAAGCTAAACATATTTACTTGTGAAAATATATATACTTTATATTGGTTATAATTTTTAATTTCATTTTTTATTATTTACTTATTTGAAGCTTACTAATTTATTAATAGGTGTCAAATTAATAAATAAACTAATTTGCATATTTGTATCTATTTAATTCGGTGTAGTAAACTAATATAAATTAGTTTCCATATCAATAAACGTTATTAGAATTTCACTTTTGTAACAAAAAATTATTTTACTTATTTGAAGCTTACCAAATTAATTAAGGTGGATTTATAAGGATTTTTGTTTCCATATCAATATGCAATCAAAAATAGAATCTAATAAAAACAAAAGGTATAAAAATAAGTAAATAATTTATGTATATAATGACATGGCAGGATTATGTGGCGCTTTGTATGCTCTTAAAAAGTTCATCTTTTATACGGAGTATATATATATTGATTAAAACAAGTAAAATTGAAGTTAGTTTTCTAACTAAATTAATTAAAGTTAGAGTATTTGGAATGTTTTTTTCATAATCTAGTACATTCATTCATTAAAAAAAGCTATTTGTACTCACACTCTTATACCTACATTTATATCCACTATGTATGTTCAGCGGTTTTTTTGTCTGAAAATCTCGTTCACAGACAAAATATGTCTTATTTTGTCTGCGCAAATTTCGCACAGACAAAATAAGACATATTTTGTCTTGAGACTTGGATTCATACACAAAAATATATACATATACAAACTTGGTTGGGTATAATGTGGGTATAAAGATGGGTACATGAAGGTTGTCATTCATTGCAACATTTTAATCTAGAATTTAAGAAATTTCGAGCGCGTTTGATACACATGATTTTGGGCTTTTTAAGCTTATCAACCATCTTTATCATCAAACACATAATTTTTTGTCTAACGCGCTGAATTGTGTAATAATAAGAAGAAATAAGGTTAGAGTTACTTTTATGGTGTATTGGTTGAAGTTGTTGTAGATGACTATTTTATCTATTTTTCATATATTTTTTATTTTATTAATACGATATATTTTAAATATAGTTTTTTTTCAGAAATCAGCGGAATCTCCCCATACAACAAATTCAATCATATTCAACGGACCCTCCAACATATTCAAGGGATTTACACTTAGCCAAACACGTCTAAAAAATATTTTTTCAATTGTTTAATGTTACATACTCCGCGTAATCCCAGAGGGACCTAGTGTACGTAGGGAAGGTAGGAACTAGGAAGCTAGACAGGAGTGGGATGTAGTACTCCATCTTATAGTATATGATGATGAAGCTATGCTAAGTACTGTGTGGATGCTTAAAAGCCTGCTGTGATTTGCCTCTAACCCTGCCTACGCCTCTATCATTATCAAACTTCCCAACGGGTGGACGTAGCTCAATTGATAGTAAAAGAGTGTCTCACGCGCTCGGTCACGGGTTCGAATCTCGTCAACTGCGATAAGGGGTTGTTATGCTAAAAATGCATATGGTCTCTGCAAGTACCGTGGACATAGCCTCATCACTCTCTATCTATCAGATTACGATTATAGTCCAACTTACATTCTTCCAACGTACCGTCCAATTGAGGTTGGGGGCACTCAGGGATGGGGTGTCATCTTTTTTTTATCAAACTCCCCATCCACATACGCAGTATTAGCATGGCATGAGGCTAATTGCAACTCAGTCTGTCAATAAATTTAATTCCATACTATTTTGTTTACATGTTTTTTTTTTGTTGGACCCGGTGTTAAGCCACTTGAAAGTGGAGTAATGACCAAGGAACATCTAACCAGTTTATTAGAAAGATGAAAGAAATACACCATAGGAGGTTTAGACCAAAACCTACCAAAATTAGCAAGCATACAGATAACTAATAGCATCAAATTAAACAATTCCTAAAAATTGTAAATGATACGTAGTAGAATTGTTCTCAAAATGCACCACGTTGTTTGCAATATACTCAGCGGCTTTCTTACAAGGTTTCTTAA